AGCTGACCATATGAAGATGTAATGTAAACATGGGTAACATAAACAAGAAAAAAATGGGGAAAACTTGGCCATTTTTTTATATTCGTGCTATTGCTTGTTTTAGATGCAATAAAATAGGGGTCAAATATTCCCATATATGTTTAAACTGATTTTACTATCCAGTATGTCCGCAAATAAAATTGTTAGAGATGCTTGATATATAATATTGAAATATGTAGCGATTTGCTTTGTTTTATAAACCTTTTTTCCATACATCCAGAAGAAATAGTCCCAGCAGCAACTCTGTTTCATATAGGCAACGCTCCAAGATGAAATATTTAATGTTACATAGATGTTAGCTTTCATCTGGCTAGCTTGTAAATGGTGGAAAGTTCACCATGGAAACCACGAGTTGTAAAATAGTTTTACAGGAAATACAGATTGGAAGAAATGCTCATCAACTAAATTGAATACTTCCTGTCGTACCTCTTCTGGACAATTTTTTTTTCAGTATATTTTTTCTTAAGTGTTTTTCTCTCTCTCTATTTGTATTTCAAAATACGTTTGTTTTTAGTGATGGCTCTTTCTCATTAGGGTAAAGCTGATGGAATTTCGTACTGGTCGAACTTGCTGGAGGTCTTAAGTTAGTCTTAGCTTCTGGCCTGTTCATTTGTTAATTTTTTTTATTGAGAACTAGTTGACCAAACTAATGAAAATCGTTTACCTGGTTTAGGTTTTATTGTAGTATGCGTTTTTCAATCTACTTTTATTATTATTATTAAATATTACATTTTAGTCTTTAATTTTACAGAGACTCCTGTCTATAAGAAGATGGGCAGTGAGTGGAATATTGATAAATGTTAGTAGCAGTAGTTTGTATATTGATATTATGAATAGTTCCAAATAGCTTGGCATTTTATAAATATAAAAAAACTGCTAAGAAAACAACGACAAAAATAATATAATTTGTTGTTGTTTTTTATCTATTTTTCCATTATGTTACCCATATTGTTTTATGACTGTTTGGTATTGAATTTTGTTATATGTTATTAATTGCATTTCAGACGTTTTTGGTATGAGTATACACTTGCATATAACTAATTATCCCTAGATTATTACAAGCTTGATCGATTGCTTTTTTGTACATAACCCTCGTTTTTCGTCTTGTTCTTGAATATATTGTTTTACGTTATGTAGCCTGACGTATATTAATAAAAGCGTAATGAAACTTTTTATTATAATATATTCATGTTACACGGTCAACAGAGAAGTATAACATGTAGAATATGTCTATGTCATTCCTTAGGTTCCCAGTATCACAATAATCATGGCCATACTTAAGAGATAGTATACCACAGTCATCATGGTGATACTTAAGCTGTAGTATACTACAGTTATCATGGTGATACTTAGCTATAGTATACCACATTCATCATGGCGTTAATTAAGTTGTGTAGTGCACCACATTCATCATGGCAATATTTAAGTTCTCAGTATATTACCGTCAACATGGCGATACTTAAGCTGTGTAGTATACCACATCCATCATGGCGATACTTAAGCTGTGTAGTATACCACATCCATCATGGCGATACTTAAGCTGTGTAGTATACCACATCCATCATAGCGATACTTAAGCTGTATAGTATACCACATCCATCATGGCGATACTTAAGCTGTGTAGTAGACCACATCCATCATGGCGATACTTAAGCTGTGTAGTATACCACATCCATCATGGCGGTACTTAAGCTGTGTAGTAGACCACATCCATCATAGCGATACTTAAGCTGTGTAGTATACCACATCCATCATGGCGATACTTAAGCTGTATAGTATACCACATCCATCATGGCGATACTTAAGCTGTGTAGTATACCACATCCATCATAGCGATACTTAAGCTGTATAGTATACCACATCCATCATGGCGATACTTAAGCTGTGTAGTAGACCACATCCATCATGGCGATACTTAAGATATAGTATACCACATCCATCATGGCGATACTTAAGCTGTGTAGTATACCACATCCATCATGGCGATACTTAAGATATAGTATACCACAGCCATCATGGCGATACTTAAGCTGTGTAGGCTTATTCAAACTCTTACAAACAAACAATAATAATAAAGAAAGAAATCAAAAACTTGAATATAATCCACGGTTATAATATTTTATTGAATATAAAGAACAGGGTAAAACATCATATGTACAAAAATAAAATTGGTCTTTACAAAATCTTATTCTATTACATTCTTCAGAATAGAAATATATATACATATAAAAGTATACAAGAAGTACATCAGATTAGTGAGTATTCACGAAGGCAGGTGTGCATGTAATTTAGTTATATATAATAGTAAGTGGAATGTGTTTTCATCAGTTTGCTGCCTCTAAGATTAAACATAAATTAACAGTAAAGTTTCCCTGAAGTCAGAAACCTTCGCTTGACCTCCAGTGTCTTAAAAAATGTTACATAATGTTATGAGCTATGTAATAGGCATAGTTCATTATTCACGTACTTGGTACGTCCATTGAGCTAAGTTCAGGCTTGTAAGGTTTACTATCACCTTTCTATATGTTGCCCAGGCACTTCAAAGTATAACTATGAATTAAAATAAAATAGTAGAAGAATAAACATCCCATTAAAATAATGTTCTCCTTTTTTATAATTAAATACAACAACTTGTAGAGTATTTGTTTTAACCACTCGCACCACTGTAGAATAGTGTGTTGTCTGTCAGTCAGTCAGTCAACACTAAAATGATGTCACATAAGGGACGCTTAACGTTGCAATTTGTACCGTCGTAACGTCAGTAAAAAATGCGGATGCCATAACTCACGAGAAAAATTAGGCACTTTGTAGACTACAGCACAGCATGACATATGAACTTCAAAAGCAAGAAATAAAAATATTTGTTTCTCTTAATTTGGGTTTTATTTACTCTTGAAAGAGAACACTTTCGGGGACTCTGTGGAAGTCATCTAGTTATATATAGATGTCAGCGGGTGTGCATAAGTGAAAAGTTTTGTTATTTGAAACTTGCTGAAACATAAAATATGCGCATATATATATACGTCGTCGATGGCTAAAATATCTTGAATGTTACGAAAAAGTAGTCCAATAGTTTTTCTTTCAAAGAATAACATTTTTTGAATTATGTAATCTTCTATAATAAAAATTCTGCCTATACAATTACAGTGTTTACAAAGCTGAGCTTCAATTCGTTAACAAATAATAATTATTTATATTTCGAGCTAAAGGTTTCTCAGATATGACTGTTTTAGTAGGGTTGTCTGTATTTTAGTTGATAGTCTCTAACTCTCTAACAACACAAACGCATTGTTTTCTACACATTATTAATATTTAGCACCCCCCACAAGACCCTCTGTTCAAAATGTTTTTCAGAGTTGAAGAAACATAGCATGAAAATACGGAATTTATGAAAATAGTAAACATTATATTGAAAGCCTTCAAAGTTAAAGGATTAGCTAGACAATCTATATATATATATATGTATATTTGCGCGTGTATTTATATCTATATATATATACATATATATTTATACATTCAGGTCCCTAAGAGGTGACTGTCACTAAAAATGTGCGCAGGAAATCCGTAAGTTAACAAATAGTGTTTTTCTCCTTACAGAATTCAAACAAAAGGTTTGAGCTTCTCTTCCGGTGTGGACACAGGATATAGGTCCTCAGCAGGCGCCAGGGGGCGTTTCCGCTAACCTGGTAAAGTTCTACATCTTTGTGGGTTCTT